TTATCCATCGATCATATCACCGGTGGATAATACGTCGGGAACTATTCATCGAGTTTAAGTAAGCCAGCGCAATGTTCGACAGTAATTTTGCCGATAATAACCAGCAGGAATTGCCAGACTCGTAAAATTTTTAAATACCGATGAAAAATCGGTAGAATATGAGCCGATATTCTAACGACGGAAATTTCGTCGTTAAGTTACCGGCGTATATTTCGCCAGTTAGGCCGCCGTGTTTTCCAGCGTATGTCTATCCGCCGGAAAGTCCGTCAGTAATGACAAATTTTTCTATAGTGATAGGTGTGGATTTAAATTGATATAGGAAAAAGATAATGAGAGCATTAGTTAATGGCTGACATTCTCATATGACCTTACTATTTAATTAATGTTTGTAATAATACAATTTTAAATTGTGTCCCCTCTAAATAATAAAATTAGTTTATGTGCCTTAAGAAAAAAGAAATCCTTAAATATGCCCGACTTATGGCTTTTTTTCTTTTTTTTCTTTTTTCTTTCTTCCATCTTGCTCTACATTCGCTTTTACAAATTTTTTTTGGTAGGACTTGATATTCTCATAATAATATAGTACTTATTAGATATTTTTATCCATGTGATTGATGAGTTAAGTCCTATATAAAAAATTGAAAAATTATATTTGTGTGGAAATATGTACTAATAAGAAATTGAAGGGATTTCAGGTTAATGCCGATGAGTCATCTGCTATGGTTTTTCCCTCTTTGCTAGGGCTTTTGCCCTAGCCGTCTTCGCCTCCGTCTCCGGCTCTCTCGTTTTTCATGGCGAATAAAAGGTTAGATCCTGGCTTTCTTGAGGGTAAGCACTCCAAATCCTTCAAAGATGTGTTGTCTGGTTCCGATGTTTCGAAGAGTTTTCCGGATTTTCATGTCTCTACGATTCGGAGTTTGCCAGCGTTGTGGTTTTCGGAAGATGAATTTTTGCATCTTGCAAAACCTTTTGAGTTTGCTTTGGTGGGGAAATTTTTCCTTAAATGACCGGATTTGGATTCGATTCATAGGTTCTTTTTCAACCTTAAATTATCTGGTGATTTCTCTGTTACTTTGTTGGATTAGTCAAATGTTTTGATCAAGCTTTCAAATGATCTAGACAATGGGAGGGTTTTTGCGCATCGTTCTTACTTCGTTTTTGGTTGTTTCATGAAAGTAATTAAGTGTTCGCCTCTCCTTGACCTTTCGGAGGAGTCGCCGATTGTCCCTGTAATGATTTCATTTCCGGGTTTACGTCCTCACCTTTTTTTTCTCTCGGATTCTCTTTGGGTTGGGGTCTATTTTTGGCCGCCCAATTCAAACCGACAATGCCACGGCTGTTGGCTCGCGTCCCTCAGTCGCTCGTATTCTTGTTGAAATTGATATTTCTAAAACTTATCCTGAATCTGTTTGGCTGGGTCCGGAGAAACTTGGGTACGTTCAAAGAGTCGTTTTTGAAGGTATGCCCAATTTCTGTCAGCATTATAAGGCTGTGGATCATAAGAAGTCGGAATGTATTAAGCTATTTCCTCATTTACGTCCGGCTGTGGATTCGGCTCCACCATCGGTGGACTTTGTTTCTAAACACTTAGTGACTTCTGTTAACCCTGTTATTTCCTCTATCCCGAATGTTAACTATGTTCCTCTCTGTGATAAAAATGTGATTAATGTTGAAGTTCCTTCGGCTCTAGGGGAGTTGGGTTGTGATATTGCTAATAATGCTGTGGTGGTTGATGGCTTGCCCTCTGTTGACTCTCCGTTTTGTTCTTCTGGTGCTGTGGGGTCCCTTATCCCGTTGGTTGAGTGTTTTGGTGTTTTGGGCGTTGCCCCTGGTGCTGAGGCTAGGATTTCTCCGGGCAATTTATTTACTCAAGAAGATGTTAATAATAACGTTGTTGAAGATTGTTGTCCTGCTGTGGTTGAGCTCGGCCCTTCGAATGCTCCGTCGCCTGCGTTGGGTGTGGAGGTTTTGCGGCTGAGTCTTAATGAGGTTTTTGGTGGTGGCTCTCCTGTTTTGGGTGTCGAGAAGTCGAGCAAATCAGTTGAACCTGTAGTGCGGGTGGATAATTGTGCTGGAAATGGAAATTTGATCGGTTCTAATACTTTTGTGGATGTGCCAGTTAATTTGATCGACACACAAGCTCTGGCTTTTCGAGTGGGTGATACTTATGGATCTAATGTTAGGTCCCATGTGGATTGGATTCATGGTTCATCTGAATTTGAATCCAAATCAGATTTTGCTTCGGATTATTTCGGTGGCTCTGACCCTGAAAATGAATTTACTCTAGTTAGAGATAGACCTATCCTCTCTATTGCATCTCGTGGGAGATTTCGTGGGAGGGGCAGAAGAAGAAGATAATTTTTTTTTCAGTTGCTTATTGCCCTACTGCTTGCTCGGGTTAGTTTTTGTACTTTTGGTCGATTTTGCGGGTTTTTGGGCAATGATGTGGCTGGAGCTCGTTCCCTCGTCGTCACAGCTGGTGGCAACCTTTGGTGATGTTTTCATTATGGTTGGATCGATTGGAGCGCTATCTTCGCCAAATTGGATGGTCCGTGCGTGGCTTCGGGGTAGCTGGGAGCCTCGGCCAATTTCGGAGCCCTCTTTGGATTTACCTTTGTATTTTTCTCTGTCTTTTATTTTTTGCCATTTGCTTTGTAATTTGTTCTCATTTTTGGATTCTTACCTTCAACTCCCTCTCTAGTCTTATAAACAAGAAGAATATCATCAACAAAAAGCATGCACCAAGGTATATCCTCTAGCAAATGTCTAGTGATAACATCCATGACTAAAGCAAAAAGATATGAAGACTTAAGCTTACCTTCAACTCCCTCTCTAGTCTTATCAACAAGAAGAATATCATCAACAAAAAGCATGCACCAAGGTATATATCCTATAGCAAATTAATGTCTAGTGATAACATCCATGACTAAAGCAAAAAGATATTTCAAGTTTACCTTTAACTCCCTCTCTAGTCTTATCAACAAGAAGAATATCATCAACAAAAAGCATGCACCAAGGTATATCCTCTAGCAAATGTCTAGTGATAACATCCATGACTAAAACAAAAAGATAGCAAAAAAAAAAAAAAATGCAATACCTTGGTGCATGCGAAGTTCGATTGAGAGAGAGGGAGATGCTCGGCGGCGGGCGACCAGGAGAGAGGGAGATGCTCGGCGAAGTCCGGTGACCGTCGGCGGCGAAGTTCGATGACCGTCGGCGACGTCAATCTTCGGCCAGCGACGAACGACGACGGAGGGCGACGGGCGAAGGAGGCGAGGTGAGCGAGAGTAGCGAAAAGAATGACGGCCCAGAGGGCTCCGATTCGCATTTTAGGGCTTTTAGCGGCGGCCTTTCCGGCGGAGGTTCCGCCGGTAATTTTACCGGCGGACAATGCGCCGGCAATTTTTCGTTGAGTTTAAATAAGCCGGCGCATAATCCACCGGAACGGTTTCGTTGAGTTTAGAAGAACGTTTCCGCCGTAATCTGCGCCGGAAATAATCCAGAGCCCTTTTCACCGGCGGTATTTCCAGCGCAATTGACGCCGGTAAATTTCCGGCGTCCGATCCGCCGGAAATGACGCCGTAAACGTTACGTCGCATCATTCCGCTGGAACCTGCGCAGACAATGCCGGCGCAAAAAAATCCGCCGGAAATTCCGACGGTAATCACGTGTTTTCCCGTAGTGCCACCACTTGAGGCCCTCACCTTCGTCAGAGGTCCTCACCTTCGCCAGAAGTCCTCACCTTCGTCAGACCATCACCTGAGGCCCGAAGTTCCGCCAGACCATTACCTGAGACCCGGACTTCTATCGTACAGTTGTTTATCTTAATCTAATCGCCCTTTGAGGCGAATCAGCCCATTGTAACCAACTTATATTTTAGTGGAATCATTTTCAACTGGGCTATGCCTCGTGGTTTTTCCCCTTTCAAGGGTTTTCCACGTAAAAAATCTTGTGTTCTCTGTGTGTGAGCTGGATATCCGTGCAAAGCTAAGACGTATAGTTAAAACTCTATCGCCGCGTATATTCAAGCCTGCAACAAGTTTTATTAAAGAATAATACATAAAAATAAGCATATAAGACCATCCTTGCAGTTTTTTAAAAAAGAAAATATATGAAAATATAAGAAAATATAAAAACAATAGTGAAATAATTAAGGGCTTATTTCACAATAGCTTCAAAAAATAATGGCCAAAAGCTTTATGAACAAAGCCTAAAAATCACAACCTCAACAACTACTTTCTCCTTGCTTTTCAAAAAGTTTGGAGTAAAAACCTGCTTTTTGTAATAATCTCTATTAAAATGTAAGAGTTATAAAAAAGTTAGGGTCCTATCATTTTAAATAGAAGATATTTATAAAACTCATAATAGCTTTCAAAAAATGAATTTTCCTTCAATAATTTCATAATTAACTTTATAAAAAATTACTTCCCTAATTTTTTGCTTACTAAAAAAAAATGCAGTGTAAAAAAAATGCAATATACAATAAATATTTTTTAGTTGTTTTTTTTTTTTTTTTTTTTTTTTTTTTTTAATGAATATGGCGGCTGGCAGGGAAAGTGGCAGGAAAAGTGGAAGTGGTGGCTGGTGGCGGGTGATGCTGGTAGTCAGTGGGGATAGTGACGTTGGGCGGCGGTGTCAAAGGTGGTGGACGGCGGTCAAACGAGCTTGCTTGTAGTGTAAACAGTTTTTGCCCAAAACTAATTAAGTTTGATTTATTTTAAAAATGAACTAAAATGATTTACACTACATTTACTTTAATTTACTCCATTTTATATTCCAACCAAACATCGATCTAAATTTGTAAAATACCTTTTATTTAAAATAATTGTATTCCAACCAAATGGCCCTAACAAACCCTAATAATACGTATAAAGTTTGTTCCAGCGCGAATGGATTCGAAGCCAATCATAATTTATCGCCCACTTAAAAAAAAAAACATAAATATGTTTCTTCCAGCCGGCACATCCATTTATTAATTAATTCGATAAAAGAAGTACTGTATGGCCCACCCTGCAGCCCTTTATATAACCATAACCCGCCGGCAACCTTTCTCACCAATCTCTCTCCTCGCCGGAAAACTATCAATGGCCGACCTCGACATGGAAAGCTCTGGCGATTCGCCAGTCCTCAAGCTTTTCGGAGCCGTCATCGTAGGCGCAGAAGATGAGAGCCGCCTTCATAAGAGCTCATCAGCTTCGGCTGCGGCGGCGGAGGAGGATACGGCAGAAGCGGCGGCGGAGACGCTGCCGTGTCCACGTTGTAAGAGCCGGGAGACCAAGTTCTGCTATTTCAACAACTACAACGTCAACCAGCCTAGACACTTCTGCAAGGCTTGTCACCGTTACTGGACGGCCGGCGGCGTGCTCCGTAACGTCCCCGTCGGCGCAGGCCGCCGGCGAAACCCCCTCTCACCGCGCAGAAAAATTATTAGTTGAGCTAAACGAAGGTAGCGGAACCTCTACAGACCTTTGTATTCATATGCAGCTAAAATATAACTATTCTTTACATAACGAAATATATATTTGTGTATCAATACGCAGATCTGTTATTCTGCACACATTCCTCAAAAGCGAAGCATCGGTAGGAGGCCGGCGGTGGTTCCGGCTGGTGGCAGCGTAAACGGTCAAAAGTCGCCGGCGAATTGAGTTGACTTTTTCCTTAGAAAAAAAAAAAGAGAGAGGTGGGGAAAGAGTGGACAAGGTGTGGCTTGTGATGTGGTTTACATGTATATTTAATTGTATTGGTTGGTGGGATTAGTAACAAATGTGGAGGTTTTTCTCTTCCAATATTAAATCCTTTCTAAATTTTTTGCTCGTTGGGTTCTTATTGTCTCGGAATAATTGTATATTGGAGATAATATTATATGATTTTTAATGCTGAAAGAAATTTAAATAATAATAGTTATAATAGCTTATTGGATCATGAAATAATATTTTTTTATATAAATATAAGTAAATATTTCTTACAATATTTTTTGAATATTAAATAAACATATTTTTTAATATATCTGTTATATGATAAGTGATTAGATGTTTCATAGATCCTTACATAAATATGAAGTAGCTTAAAAGTAAGATAAAGAAAAAATTAAAAAAACATTTAGAAAAAAAATCCACTCATTCTCTCTTGTTTTTATATTTTACTTTCCTCTTTTACATGCAAGCACAAAACAAATAGAGAAGAATTGTTTATATATTTTTTGACAAAATTTTAAAATAAATTCGTTTAAAATATTTTTAAAATAAAACTTTAAAAATAATGCCGATAATTTGCTTAGGCAACGATTAGCCTTCTGATGTGGCAGGTGGGTGGCAAGTGAGCTATAACGTGGTATGCGCAGACAGGCAATGATGTGGCGGGCGGATGGGTGGGCGACTAACACAGTCATTTACCTCCTAAATGACAAAGGTGGAGGACAAATAAAAAAAAAAGTTCTTATGTTACTTTATAGATTAATCTATAGATCATTTTATTAAATTAATGTTTTATGTATAGTTAGATTAGAGGAGTTTACATAATAATTTAGTTGGGATATTACTTAAGCAAATCATTAAATTAAGTTAATGTAGTAATAACTGTTGAGTCCAGTAATTAGGTTGTTAAGCCTAAGTAAATGTCCCAAGGCTACCAAGAGGGGGGTGAATTGGTAGTTTTTAAAAATTAATACATTGGTAATTAAATTAATTTGATAATAATTTTTTAATAAACTTATAGATTAATTTAAAATAAGTAGTTGATAATTATTTAGTAAAAAATGATTTTTTTTCTTAGATATGGAATAAATTAGAAATTTTAATATTTTTTATTTGATTTAAATGAAATTTAGTGAGAGGTAGTAAAAATGTTTTAAAATTTTAATTTCTAAATTTAAAATATAAATCTTAAAATTAATTCAAAGTTCTTAACCTTAAGAGCAAGAATAATTTATAAATTATCATTTATAAATTCCTTTTAATTATTTAAGGAATTCAAAGGATTTAATCTACATTAATCGCAATGAGCTCATAAGATAAAGATGAAAAAAAATTAATTTTAAAATAAAACACATGGCACGATCTATAAACAACTCGTTCTTGTCACCTGCCTGAATGCTCGATCGACCGACTCGCCCACACTCGCTTTCCTATCCTATCGAGCCCCGTGCCCTCGTTTTGACCGAGACCCCTGCCCCTTGCTTGTCTCGCTTGACTGTCCCGCTCCCAGCCCTCCCCGGCGTTCTGCCCCTGACCCAACTTTCGTGCCCTTGGATGCATCACACCATAGCCCACAGAACAAGCCCTGGATTTAATCTACATTAATCGCAATGAGCTCATAAGATAAAGATGAAAAAAAATTAATCTTAAAATAAAACACATGGCACGATCTATAAACAACTCGTTCTTGTCACCTGCCTGAAAGCTCGACCGACTCGCCCACACTCGCTTTCCTATCGAGCCCCGCGCCCTCGTTTTGACCAAGCCCCCTACCCCATGCTTGACTCGCTTGACTTTACCGCTCCCAGCCCTCCCCGACGTTCTGCCCCTGGCCCAACTTTCGTGCCCTTGGCTGCATCACAACAGAGCCCACAGAACACCAGTGTTTTTCCCCCAACCCAGCCCAAACGACTAGCAAGTTGTTCACCTTCTAAACGACTGCCTATTACGCCACATCATGCACCACAATACATCATAGGTCTGCGCCAAGCCACGGCACCACAACACGTCACAACTCCGCCAAGTCATAATTCTCCACACACACGTCAAAACCAGTATACGACTAGCATTAGTTTTAATTTTTTATTTTTATGATTTATTTCATATAAACAAGTTTTAGAAGAATTTATTTTTAAAATTTGTCCAATATTTTTTTTATTGCCAAATTAAATATAAGAGAGACATGAACAGGTAACTAACCCATTACCCATCAACATCATAAACGAAAATTAAAAAAAAAAAAATGGTAAATACTGTTTGAGCCAAATGTATAGGCAATAGTTCTCAATTCCTATATTAAGAAGAAAAAAAAATAGCACATTATCAAAATCAATCGCAGAAAATAAATTTATAGGATTTGAAGGTTGCTCCTCTTAAGTTCATGGCGATATGATTTCCACTAATTTTCCAAAGTTGATAAGAGAAGTTGTCGTTTATGAAGAACGATATTCAAGGTTGAAAGCATACATATAGAAGAAAGAATATGACAGTAAAAGGCCCAACCATAAAAACCAAATGATAAGTATTACTGTTTCCATATATATGGTTAAGAGGAGAACCCTAATTGGGCTTGTTACAAATGAGCAGTGGAGATGGAGTGACAAGAGAGGTGCTGCTCCACTTGCTTTGTTCCTATGGCAATGGTGAATTTTGTCATCATCGTCCCTCATTTGAATGGGTCGGAGTCGGAGCATCAGCTTGTCATGAATATGATGGAAGCACTGGGTGGAGGGAGCTTTTGTGATAACTAAAGAAAGCAAAGGTTGCAACATGTCAAGATAATATGATATGGATTAATTATTCTGTGCAGATGCCGAATATCGTACGAAGATCAACCAGAATACGCCACGTTACCTCTTGCTCGGTACTGCGGCTAAGTAGTGCTCGGTATCACTCGGTACCGCGGCTCGATACTACTGACGTGGTGCATTCTGGTTGTTCTTTGGAGCGTCTAGTCTCCGCATAGAATATATAAATTATATTTATCCAAGATATGAGAATATTGCCAGGATAGTGGTAGAATGTGAGGACTGATTTGAGATCAATGGGTCACTTGCTTAGTGTTGTGCCCTGAAATATTCGCGGCGATAGAGAAGTATAAAGTTTAACGTCTTAGCGTTGTACGAAGATCCAGCACACAATCAAATAAAAAGATAGGGTGCGTCATTCACAAGAGAAACCGAGATTTTTATATGGAAAACCCTCGAAAATGGAGAAAACCCACAGGGCCTAACCCAGTTTGAATGAATCTATTAGTATTTGTAGTTGATTACAAATGAAGCCCTTTCATGGGGGAAGGTCTTAGCTTGATGCACATCATATAAAGTATTACATAATATGAATACAAAGAATCACTATTGAGGTGTTTATTTGGTCGAAAGTATTGTAGTCGGTGGGCGACGTAAGTTGGAAGGATCGTAGTCGGCGGGCGACAGAGGTCATAAAGATCATTTTCTGACGATGGAAGTCAGAAGGACGGCATCAGGGAGAAGCCCAGCGTCGGATAGAAGTCCAATGAATATTTTGCGACAGGTAGAAATTCGGCGTCAGATAGAAGCCCGATAGAATTCCAATGACGAGCAGAAGTCTGGTGCCGGATAGGAATCTGGCGATGGACGTACGTAAGTCCGGCTTTGGGTAGAAGTCTGTCGATGGACAAAAATTTGGAGTCGGATAGAAGTCCAGCGAAAGTCCGACGACGGGCAGAAGTCCGACAATACATGAAAAATGTCATTGGTCGAAAGTATTGTAGTCAGTGGGCGACGTAAGTTGGAAGGATCGTACTCGGCGGGCGACAGAGGTCATAAAGATCATTGTCTGACGATGGAAGTCAGAAGGACGGCATCAGGGAGAAGCCCAGCGTCGGATAAAAGTCCAATGAATATTTGGCGACAGGTAGAAATTCGGCATCAGGTAGAAGCCCGATAGAATTCCAATGACGAGCAGAAGTCTGGTGCCGGATAGGAATCTGGCGATGGACGTAAGTCCGGCTTTGGGTAGAAGTCTGTCGATGGACAAAAGTCTGGAGTCGGATAGAAGTCCAGCGAAAGTCCGACGACAGGCAGAAGTCCGACACTACATGAAAAATGTCATTTTCCGCCGGGCATTTCGTCGGAAAAATGGCTAAAATCCATCAAAAATTAGCATTCCGGAAGAAACTATTCCGACAATAAAATGCGCGTCACAAAAGCCCTTCCAGTGTTAAATAATGTGCGATTTCCAACAGAAATTCGTAGAAACTATAATTCTGGCGGATTATTTTGCACCATAAAATAAGAAGAATTTTTTTTTTTTGACACAACCCGAGCAGCCCGCCCAAATCAGCTAGCCCGCTGCCCTCAAGCCAGCACAAGCGCCTCATCTCAACCCACCCCCCATGCTCCCCACAACCCACCTGGGAATTGCCGACATGACTGGCCTGCCGCCATGCAGATGCCGGCGGTGACATTCGAACCCCAACCATTAGGCCAAAGAGGAAAACCTGTTGAAATATATACTATAATCAGGTGATGGTGGTTTTTGATGGATTCCTTTTTTAGCAATAAAGGTTAGAAAGTCGTAATCAGGTGATGGTGGTCGGAAGGATCATAGTCAGTTGGCAAAGAAAGCAGGAAATATTGTAATATAGAGATGTAGGTCGGAGAGATCGTAGCTGTCGGGCAACGGAGGTTTGAAAGACTGTAGTCTAGAGATGGTGGACGGAGAGACCGTAGTCAATAGACGACGGATGTCATAATGACCATAGTCATATGATGATGGTCAGAAGGACCGTAGTTCATTGGCGAGGGAGGTCGGAGACACTATAGTCGGCGGGCGACGAAGGTCGAAAAGATCGTAGTCGGGTGACAGTGGTCATAAGGACTATAGTTGGTGGGCGAAGGAGATCAAAACGTCTGTAATCAAGCGACATCAATTAGAAGAACCATGGTTGGTGGGCGAAGGAGATCAGAAAGACGATAATCTGGAGATGTTGGTCGGTGAGATCGTAGATGGTGGGCAAAAGAGGTCATAAAGACCATAGTCTGGATATGGTGGTTAGAGAGACCGTAGTCCACTGCGATGGAGGTCATAAAGACCGTAGTTTAGTTAAGATGGTCGAAAGGACCATAGTCGGCAGGCAACGGGTGACGGAGGTTGAAAGACCAAAGTCAGGCGATGATGGTCGAAATGACCGTAATTGGCAGGAGACAGAGTTTAGAAAAATCATAATCGGGTGACAATGGTAGGATGAACCATAGTAAGAGGACGTCGGAGGTCGGAAAGATCGTAGTAAGTGATAGTGGTCGGAAGGACCTTAGTCGACAATGACAAAGGTCGGAAAGACCATAGTTGAGTGATTGGGGTCAGAAGGATCGCAATTAAGCAACGAAAATTAGAATGATCATAATTGGGCGAAGGTGGTCATAATGACCATGGTTGGAGGACGACAGAGGTAAAAAAGATCATAATCGAGTGATGGTGGTCAGAAGGACCATAGTTAGTGAGCGACAATGGTCAAAAAGATAATAATTTTGAGATGCTGGTCGGGAAGATTGTTGTCGGCAGACAACGAAGGTCGAAAAGATCGTAGTATAGAGATGGTGTTTGGAGAAACTATAATTAGCAATCGGCGAAGGTCAAAAAGACCATAGTCGCGTGATAGTGGTCGGAAGAACCATTGTCAGTAGGCGATAGAGGTCAGAAAGACAGTAGTCAGGTGACAATGGTTGGAAGGACTGTAATCGGTGGGCGGGGAAGGTCAAAAAGACCATAGTCGACGACGATGATCAGAATGACTATAGTTGGTGGGCGATGGAGGTCAGAAAGATCATAGTCGAGTGACGTTGGTTCGAAGGATTGTAGTGGGGTGACAGAGGTCTGAATAACCATAATATGCGAGTATGGATGTTGATATATAAGAACGTAGTTGGCAGGCAACCTTGATGTCTAAACTAAAATTTGGCAATGACCTATGGTCAGGAAAAAGTATGATGACGGACGGTGATTAGGCAAAAGTCGGCAACAATCGAAAGTTGGTGGCCGGGCGGAAGTCCGACGAAAGTCCAACGACGGTCGTTGGTCGAGCGGTCGTTGAGGAGGAGCTTGGTGACAAGAGAGATCTCATATTAATTTCTCTTATTTTTTCTCCCCTCCTGTGAAGAATGAGAAGTCTATTTATAATTTTCTAGGAATGACATGTCCAGTAAATAGAAAGATGATCAAGTAGTGGTGAAGCAAGAAATTTTTAGTAATTTTTTAAACATATTTAATTTTCGTCGGAAATCCGTTAGAAATTTCGTCGAAATTAAATCCATCGGAAAGCCAATCGAAAAATACTTCAGAACTTTGTCGAAAATTTTCTGTCAGAAATCCGCCGTAAGTATGTCGAATTTATTTCCACTGAAAATTCCATCGGAAATTAGCTGTTTTCCTGTAGTGTGACGTCGAGTATAAATCCGGCGTCAGGTAGAAATCTGGCGACAAGCGGAAGTCCTATGTCGAGTAGAGGTCTGGCGACGAGCGGAGGTCTGGCGTCGGGTAGAAGTCTGTCGTCAATCGGCGGCCGGGCAAAACTTCGATGTTAGATGGCATTCGGGCAGAACTCTGGCGTCGGTAGGCTGTCGGGTGATAGTCTGGCGGAGGTCAATGAGGAATCTATTCCTTGTTTTCTTCTTTACTCTTATTGCTTGGGCCTCCTTCTTTCTTGAATGGACGGCTGGTGTTGAATCCTTTGATTATAGATCATTTATTAGGCAATTGAAGGCCTTGATGATGTCGGAATTTCATGATCTTGGGGTCGTTGGATTTGTCTCGTTGCGCCGCTCAATTTGACTATAAGCATGTCACGTTTGAAAACCATTTGGTAATCCAAATTACGGTTTGAACCTTTCGATTGTGCTTCGGGTCTTTGATTTGGACTTGGATTGAGTCGAATTTGGTGTCGATGGGTTTGTATTTTGGAGACGTTCAATTCGACTATAAGTTTGCTAAAATCGGAGTTCATACGGTCTCTAATTTAAATTTTGAAATTTCCAACTTGATTTTGCTTCGATTCGTGCCTGATCAAGAAAATTTTTTGATGATGTATCACTCAGAATGATTTTTAGTATCAATGTAGGAGAAGATCGGCCCTTGATGTGGTGTAACAATACTGAATGTTACTGTTTAAGGCTTGGTTTGGGACGGCTTCACGGCTACGTTGCTTTAAAAAAATTTGTTAAATGCTCATTTGGGGCATTGCGGTAGAACGACGTTAGAAAAATTTTTGCGGCCTGTGGCTACATCCCGCGACCTTTGGCAACCTCCCGCGGTCCGCTGCTTCCCGTGGTTTTGAAGGGAAAAAATGCCGTAAATGCCCCCATTTGTGCGAAACTGCTTCCCCCTCGTCGTCGGCGTTGTCATTTTCTTTTCCTTTACTTTTATCAATCTCTAAAAGCATTACCCCGAATCCATACACATCACATTTCTCACTCACCCTCAAGCTCCGGCGCCGCGTACCCAAACGCGCTCTGCCTAGTGCCCTGTCGCTCCGGTCGAGGCCCGAGCAACCGAATCAGTCCAAAATCAGCCACCTTTGCTTCGCCGCCAGCGTTGAGGAGGATATTGCTCGGCTTCACGTTGTAGTGGATTATCGGCGGACGGAAGGCGCAGTGGAGGTAAGATAATCCTCGCGCTGTACCGAGCGCGATGTGCAAACGTCTTCTCGTTCCAAAATCCAACACTGTTTCTTTTCAACTTTCTCTGTTCCTTGTTCGCATGTGGCTTCCTGTGAAAGGGCAATTCAACTGCTTCTCCTCCACTGCTGAGATGGGGAAACCCGGTGGCATCGTCTTCTCGTTCCTATCATTCCTTCTCCTCCTTCCTTTATGGAGGGCCTTCTACCTTCATGTCAGTTCTACTACCCAAACAAAATTTATTGATTTTTGTACAACAACTTTATAAAGTAGCTTCCTGGACAACAACTTTACAACCTACTTTACCGACAGCTGCAGCCGTCCCAAACGAAGCCTAAGGCATAATGCGTATGTTGGAAAGGGGTATTAACGGCAATAATAGTGATGTATTGAAGTGCATTTATGCGGTAATAGAAGGTGGGATTATTAAAGGCGTAACTGGAGTTTGGGCCGTTCGATTGTTTGAAAATTATTGGACTGATAAGAGTGGATTTGCAAGCCGGTCAGAGGCATATCTCTTGGCTGAGCCATGGGCCTTGGGGAATATCGGCCCAACTTGTTTGATGTCAAAAGCTGTTAATCAGCGGTTGGTGCTTTGCAAGTAAAGTGAGTGTCAAATATTTCAAATATAGAGATTTTGAAAATATTTTTATTTGGTTGGATGAAATATTTCTAGTCGTCGAGCCCATTAACGAGTCGAGCCCGAGCCCGCTCGCGAGCCGGCTTGACTCGGTTGCACCCTTAGTTACTACACATAAATACCTTCTTTCCATTTCTTCATCATCAGCATTTTACCAAATAGAGAAGGAAGCATCGTTTCACTCTCAGAAGATTTTTTCATCATAATTTTAAATTTTCAGACTTTCTCTCATTCCCACTTCTAGATTTCCTAATTAAATTATAAAACCTACAATGACACAGAGGAGGATCTTACCAAGCTCTGCAGCTGTAAGTTGTTGTGATGAGCAGTAAACACCACAATGATGAAACAAACAAGATAGTAAAAGTAGCGGAAAATAAAGGGCGTCAGGATTTAACGTGAAAAAATTCAAAATAGGGAAAAAAAAAACAATGGAGCCACTTCACACCAAGAAATTCAATATGAAAATTGGGAGAAATAAGTACAGATCTCTCCTCTCTCGCTCTCGAACTAGCTCCTTGTTTCTCTTCTTGCGCATGCACCATTCTCAATGTCTAATCCTAAAAAAAATACAAGAGAAAGCAAAGTTAATTACCATAAGAGACGCAACCCTTTAGAAAAACGAGAAAGAAAACCATTCAGTCCGTCTCGCGTCGCTGAGGCGCTAGTTTGGGGCTCTGTGACGTTCAAACCTCTGTCTTGATCCGCTACGGTGCCGTATCTAGATCACTGCGGCGCTTCGCTCTCTTTCGATCAACACTAAGGCACTCAGTAACACAACACCATGGCGTTGTACAAAAAAAATTTGGGTAAACCCCCCGCACCCCGCAACAAGCACGACAAAATTGAGGTCTGAAGCTACTGAACAACCGGATTGATCAAGACAATCAGATTCCACACATAACACAAATATTACAAAGCAAATAGACCAATAGGTTACAAAAAATCTAAAATTACTTTCAACGTACACAAAAATTAAAACTACATGTATGTTAACAATCAGTTGATCAAAAAAAAAAAAAAAGTAACCATGTGCTCGATAAGTAAATATATATGATACTTATGCGTATTATGACCAAGACTATCATTTTAGAATCATAGATATTTAAGGCATCATATGTAATTCATATTGTCATGTTTAGCAATATCAAACAAGTTAAGTATTTTGTCTAATCATAACAAAAAATTCAATATGATTATATGGATAAGTGAAAAATTATTAAAATAATAATATACCAAGAATTGTATGACAAAGAATTGTTAAATATCAAGATGTTATAATTTTCATAAGTCTTGATCAAATTAAAATTTTAAAAATATAAAATAAGTAAAATCACTATATCATAAATAAAGTAACAATATAAAAATGACTCAAAAACCTTATTTTCATATCTACAATGCCATAAAAAAGGGGAAAAAGATCTATAGTTAGAATACAACATTCTCTAAGATATTATATAGACTATTTAGAAATTTAACTTATAATGACTTTAGAAATATTATTTGATGGTTGTAATAAGTCGAATTATTTTTTATAGAAATTTAAGGGGTTGTATCTCTATTTTTTAGCCAAATATTTATAAATTTATTCAAAGATAAAAATAATTTGAAAGTACATCTTAATAGGCACTTTAGAGCATCATGTAAATTAAACTTGTTTTTATATAACTATATTCATAGTAGGTAACATTTGAAAGCTCTATGATTGTTTCATGATCAGAATTGATCGAATTTGTGGATATTACACTATGGTCATTTGAGTGTATGACCATCATTATTTAACTATGGTCCTGTGACCACCATTGTCTCGTTGAAATCCTTCAATCATTCCAACCACAATCATTTAATCACTATCGCTTGGCTATAATCATTTTGACTATTGTCCCCCAACTACGATTCTTGTGAGTATTATCATCCAATTATAATCCTCCAACTACTGTCATCCAACTATGTTCTCATAATCATCATTACCTAACTACAGCCCTTTAGCCTTTATTATCTGACTACGATTTTCTGATCAACATCACTTAACTATATTCCTCTAACCTTCGTTTCTAACTATAGTCCTTTTGACTGCTATTGCCCCACTACGATCCTCTTACCATCATCGTTCAACTATGATCCTTCTTACCATAGTTGCCTAACTAAGATCCTCCAATTAATGTTTCCCAAATATGGTCCTCGATTTGATCACTATTACGTGCTTACGATATTCTGACCGCTATCACTTAAATATGGTTCTTTCGACTGCTGTCGTGCAACTATAGTCCTCCTACCTATGTTACCCAATTGTGCTCCTTTGAGCTCTTTCTTCCAACTTTGATTCTCAAACCAAAATTGCTCAGCTACGGTTCTCTGATTACCATTACTCAACTATAGTTCTCCAAATAACATCGATAGACTATGTTCCTCTTGTGATTTATGCTGGAATTCTTGACCTTTAATTTCCCCTTTTCAAACTTTTCATATAAAGTCTCGTGACTAATGCAATTCCTTATGTATCTATAAATGTACTGAATATTCATACAAAAGCAACAAAATTAAGATGTTAAGTTATCAATCTCTATGTCTTTGTGAATAATCTGACAAGCAATAAGATTTGATTAAAATTTAAATGATTATTGGATAAATTTCAATTTCAAACATAATGATCAACTCGAAAACTCATTAGAAAATTAGTGATCATCCATCCTATTTGAATGCAATTATTGTTGTATATATGCATCAAATGTTTTATCAATTAAGTAATAATAAGACCAAGAGGGCCTTTTATTTATACTGCCTCCAATAAAAATGGAGTGCTATCATTTCATGACTAAAAAAAATAAAAAATATATATATATATATAAACTGTTTTAAGAAGCAATAAAAAAAATCGTCCCAAATGAATCATAAGAATTTGTTTGAGACGGCTTTCTTGATGCTTCTTAAAGTTATTTTTTAGTACAAAAATTTTAATTTTTGTATTAAAAAACTGTTTTAAGAAGTAGTAAGAAAGCCGTCCCAAACAAAGTCTAAGGCTTTGCTTTGGACGGCTTTCTATAAGAAAACTATCACTACAAAATTATACTTGACATATATTCTTTTAAATAAATTTATGACTTTCTCCCGCTCATGGGCGGATCCACCCATGGCTTAGGTGGGCAAATGCCCACCCTCAAAATTTTTTTTTAAAATATTTAGAGGGGATATTTTGAAATATTTTGGGTATTTTGGGCATTTTGCCCCCCTAAAAAAATTTTGTTGCCCTACTTTTATCAATCTTAAGCATATTTGACCATCCCTCACAAATTTTTTTTTTTTGTCCACCCTGTAAAAAGCTGAATCCGCCCCTGCTCCCGCTCAGTGAGCGCCAATTAGACCTCGTCGCAAATGCAAATATTTTTCGTTTATTTTAAAATATAGCATAGTTGTAAGGAAATTCTACCGATTCCATTGTCAGCAACGCCCTCACATCATATTATAACAAAAACAACTGTCATTACTTCGTAGCTACGATCTTATACACGTAATTTATTAATACGAAATTATTTATTTAACATATTTGCATCATAAATTTTCAAACTTTTACAGCCAATTCAATGAAGAAGCCGTGTTGAAAAAGAAACTTCTACTCTATAAAATCCACACAGCACTCTCAGAACTAATTAACAAAGAAATTCTTACGTTGCAGAGATAAGAGACTGAGCAAGCAGGCAGGAAGAAATGGATCAGAAGAGCAGCGTCATGTGGGTGAGTTCCTTCCTTCTTTCTTCTGTGTTCTTCGTGATTAAATTAGATTAGTGGCGAGATTAATTGGTTCATCAGGAGGCCATGACAGATTTTTCAATAGGACAGAAGATTATTAAGACTTCATTTCAGACCGTTTTTTTATTATTGTCAAAATTTTATAAAATCAGCTAGAAAACTATGGCCAAAATCTGTCCCAACTGATAGAGTAGTTGGAGAGGAGAAGGAGCACAGAGAGAAGGCGTGACACAGAGTAAGAGCAGTAGAATGAAATTATCTTATTGAATTTAGAAACTAATTACAGATATATTTATAGGCTTTGGGCTGTGCTAAATACAGTTAGCTGATGTGGGATGTATTTACATTGCTGTGCTTACACCAACACGTTAGCTTCGTTTGGGACATTTTTCTTACAGCTTGTTAATATAAAATTTTTTCAAACAGAAATTTTGGTACTAAAAAGCAGTAAAACAATTGTCCCAAACAAAGCCTTCATTTGGGACGGCTTTCTTATTGTTTCTTAAAGCAGCTTAGTATGAAAAAAACCATCTAAAATGAAGCCTAAGACACCTTTCGTATTGCTTTATGAATCAGTTTTTTAATATAATTTTTTTAAAAAATATAAGTAGAAAGCCTTTTTAGAAAACAGTGAGAAAGATGTCTCAAACGAAGCATAAGACTTCATTTGGAACAGCTTTTTTTGATTTTCAGATCGTAATCATAATTTTTATTTGGTCACTTCTTTTTAACTAGTTTCAATAATTTCTTTAACTAAAAAATTATT